ACACCCTAGCCTCCCCAGGGTAGCCATGACCAATCCTCGTAAAGCCCTAAAATCCGTAGGTGAACGAATCCCTCGCAACAAGATCTCATCTACTCTTTCTGAAGTCTGTTGTCCCGAGATGATCTGTATCCCTAACAGACCACTCATACTGAATCATTGTCGTTGAATCCAGTCTGTTTATCCCTCAACTGACTACTCAACTTTCAATAACTCGAGGTTTCCACTATAATTCAGGGTCACAAACCCAATTATCTCTGCATGTCAATTATACTTGGCCTTGTCAATTCCCAATCAACCAGCTATTCCGTTCGTATTTGCAACCGAAAACACAAATACTAATACTGCCCAAACGGTGAAACTGCTCGAACACTAAACTTCCTGAAGTAGTAAGCTGCTACATAGCTGCTTCCCAAAATCTATCGAGACCTGCCTGGTCTCGATTCATTCACCAATCATCTGAAATGCCGGTTTCCGGCTTGGATGCGGGGCCAAAGGACTCCCCACTTAGTTGCCTCACACGACTTCTGAACGAAATACTTCCCTTGAACTAGTTGCCAGTAGTTATCATCCTACTGCAACTCTGCAACTTTCTGTTCTACCCGATCGGGTCCACGCGTCGAATCCTGTCATCATCAAATCCAAGATTAAAAGTGATTGCTACCTGACCACTGGTAGCCTAATATTCCAAATGACCTTAAGCAGTCCACTGCTTCCTGGATCTCATATCTGTAGTAGCGTTCTTACAGTCTTATCACTGGTTCAACCAGATCTAATCCATCTGGGAAATTTTCGAAATCCAATCCGTGGATTTTCTATCCTTACTGCTGCACCCGAACAGGTGGGTACTACTATTCCTTCCGCGTTCTAACAGCACGCTAATGCCATCTACCAACCTAGTGAATGCTACAGCTACACCCGTAGTCTCATGACACTCTATCAATATCTGACTGCTAGTAGATGCTACGGCTACCCCCGTAGCCTTACGACACTTCCCATGCTAACTGACCACTAGTGAATGCTACAGCTACCCCCGTAGTCTTACAACACTTCCCATGCTAACTGACCACTAGTGAATGCTACGGCTACCCCCGTAGTCTTACAACACTTCCCATGCTAATTGACAACTAGTGAATGCTACGGCTACCCCCGTAGTCTTACAACACTTTCCGTACTGGTCGAACACACACTCGACCTAACACACAATCGAACTTGAGTCCTAACCGGAACTCTAACCGAACACAGCCCATGCGAAAAATACCATTCTCTTGAACATCCAATGACCAACCACTTATGGATCTAACACCCGCAACTGACACTACCATCTTTATGCTACCAGTCCCGTCCTAGCAACGGTAGTGCCTTGAGCTTCCAAAGTTCTTCCATAGACAACTGTCGACCACACCTGGATCATGATAGAACCACTGAATGCTGACTCCACCGAAGAACTATCGCTTTATCCCTGACCAGATATCCTCTCACTAATACTCCTGCACAGATCCCGACAAAGATCTGGAATGATAACGGTACATGCGGAACCCACTCCGCAAGATGCATCCCTCAGTGGGTTCATCAAGGACTTTTCGGCATGCATGATGGCATATATGATCCTTGATAACCCAGACACTAACAGAAAACCGACCTGAGGTCTGACTTATCGAAACTCACTCACAATTCCAAAGCGGTACGTATTCCCAACATCCATCTGGTAGCAGTAGAAGATGACATACCCGCAACATCTGGAGGAATACAGATCAACTTCAGCTGACATGATCAACCCTGCCTCACTTGTAGCAGCCTAAACCCTTGGAGCGACAAACTCCCTTGTGCATTTTCCCGTACGTGCAGTACTGACTCCGGCCCTACTGGCCTTTCACATGAGGATCAAAAGTCATGGATCTCTTCCCGAGACCCTCTACTATACGCACCTAGCACGAACCTCTCTTCCCAGGGTGCTCCAAATCGATCTCGCATCTGCAACTCTTGGAAATCATATCCTTCAGGGCCTGACACCCTGTCACGCTCACTAGCTCACTTGCCAATGGCTAAGCTGCAACAACTGGAACATCATCTGCCCCCAAACCGGGTCACAAACTCCTCCCAGAAGCTTCTCAGATTCTCCAAGACTCTCACCGATTCGAGTATGGATCCTGTGCTTTCAGTAGTATGGGCCCAATACTACCTTCCACACCTATCCATACCTTCCTCAGCAATCCTCCCGAATCCTCTAAGTCACTTCCTCAAACTGGTACCCAAGCCTCACTGAGCCTCGCAACTAACCCACTGAAACATATCCTAGGCTTTCCAAGGTTCCCGAACTCAACCAGTCCTCAGCTGCTGAAAGATTCCCAGTAATGTCAACTAGCTACCTCATGAATATAGCTAGCTCACATTACTAAGAGTCTCACAAAGCACAAAGCAAGCAACATTCAGACAATGGAAAATCTAACCATCATATTGCAATCAAATCCTTTTATCCTCTAATCAAGAATCTGTACATGCAATTCAAAGGCTCATACAATCAGGCATAACCTAAACAGGTTATCCTATTACTGACTGATCAGTACTAGCATGCAAATCTACAAGCACATACAATAGGCATATAAGGCATCCTTCCTAGATCCTTAGCCCTAATCTAGCATGCAATTCTCATAATCATATCATATCATACCATAACATAACATGTATGGGTATCTTGGGAAAACTTACTTGAGTTCGGCTGATTGCACGCATCACACACTTTGTTCTTCTCAAAGTCCATTTCTCTTTTCAGATTCTTTTCAAACTCCTTTTTATAAAATGGTTTTACTTTTGAAAATTTTCATACCAAGCCCTTAGTTTGAGTTCAGACACACCCAAGAGTATATCTGAATCCCTCAAACCAAGGCTCTGATACCAACTTGTAACATCCCAAAATTCAAGGCCAAAAATTTCATTTTTAAATAAGTTATTACATAAAACAATCAATATAAAAACATTCATAATAATATCTCGTGTCAAACCAAAGTGTCAGTAATCAAACAGAATATCATAAAACCATATCAGAGTGTAATCCCAAGGATCCAGTATGCGGAAAACATAGTGTGATGCGCTGCGACCAAGCCGGCTTCTTTCCTTTGAAACAATGTACCTGAAACACATAACACATAACACAGTAAGCACACATGCTTAGTGAGTTCCCCAAAATACCACATACAACACATAAGCCACTCGAGGCTATAGCTCTACGAGACCTTCCGGTCAATGTGTCTCAGGGGCCTTCCGGTCCCACAATCCGAGTAGACCTTCCGGTCCTACCCTGTCGACCTTCCGGTCCATACCATGTTGACCTTTAGGTCCATACACTGCTGACCTTCCGGCCCATACGCTGTTGACCTTCCGGTCCATACCAAGCACCTCATAAGATACATAACATATACATATCACATAGAGACATATATCACATACTCTTCATAGCACATAAAAATATATAAGACCTTCCGGTCACATATCACATAAGTCACATAGCTCATACAAATATATAAGACCTTCCGGTCACATATCACATAAAGTCTCATAACTCATTCATACACATAAGACCTTCCCATCACACCTAGTTACCATTCATGGTAAAGTATAGTGAGAAAACTCACCTGGCATTGCTGAAGTCCCACAGACTCCATCCCACACTGCTAAAGTCCTGCAGACTCAACCCCAGCTGCTGGATGACAGATTCCCGATCTGTCAATATCAAAATATCTCCCAATTAATAATTGGGTCTCACTACATAACCATAAGTACATACTTTGGATAATTACTACATTACCCCAGGCTTGGCTTTATTTATGCCTAAGGCCCAATCCATAGGCCCAAAGTCAATTAGGAATCAAAGCCCAACATATGGCCCAGTTTTCCAAATTGGGCCCAAACCCCTTACATGGGCCTTACCCTAGGCCCATTAATGTATTTTAGTCCAATTGCTTGACTTTGGATGGCCCATTAATAACCCAATCATCAAGGCCCAATAGAAGGGCCCAACAATAAACCCAAGTGAAATTAGGGTTTTCACATAAAATGACGATTAGGGTTAAGTGTTTCTCACTTAACCCATTAAAGACTTAATCCATTAAGGACTTAATCCACTAAGTCCATCATTTTTCTAAATAAGTCATATGGTGTGATTGGGCTTAATCACACAATTCCCTTCCAATGGCCCAAAAGTGGGTCCCAATAAGTCCAAGCCCATAAATCCAATATTAGGGTTTTCTAAACCCTAATTAGGGTTTCCAACCCCATCTTAGCCCATTAGGCCCAATTGATATGTCTTTTGATCAATTAAGGTTCACTAGACTCATTAAGGTTTCACTAGGCCCATTAGCCATCTGTTTGGGCTTTTAGGTCCATTAAGCTTCATTGGGCCCATTAGGGTTCATTAAGCCCATTAAGCCTCATTGGGCGCATTAGGGTTTCTTACTCCCTTGTCCAAACATCCAAACGAGTCAAAACACCATCAAAGCACACCGCCACCCGACACGGCGACCGGTGGCGGCAGGAGGCGGCAGCCACCACCCTACAGTGGTGGTTTGAGTTTTCTTATTATTATTTTGACACCATTACAATGTACAACTCGATAATACACACACACACACACACTAAGTAAACACACACCCGCAACCACCCTTGTGGTGGCCGGCGGTGGCACGTGGCGGCAGCCACCACCTCACGGTGGTGGTGATGCCCTTTTTCCGACCAAATAAACACCCACACACATACTTCTAATAGAATGCAACCACACACACCGAAACACGCAGTAAAACACGCACACAACCTACACTCGGAACAGAAGCGCAGCCACCCTCCTGGTGGCGGTTGACGGCGGCAGAGGCGGTGGCAGGTGGACAAGAAGGTGGCAGCAGCTCACGGTGGAGCAACAATCCCCACGGACACGACAACCACCTTGACTGAGCTATCCACAATAACTGGCGACCATTTACCTTCACAGAAACGCACCGCGGCGGCATCATCTACCGGAGATAACGGCGGCAGCGGCGCTGTCGTTTTGCTTCCCCTTCATTTCCGTTAGAGCAGCGATATCTCATGTCCATCTTCGTCTTCAGCAACCACGGGAGGCACGACTGTGGTTTTTCCCAGTCACACACGTCGTGCATAGCGGCGAACACAACGCAGTTCACCGGAGGAGAGCAGCGACAGTCGTCTATCGGCTTCTTGTATTGCACTTCGTCGTTGGCAGCAGCTTCGCCGACGATGTGGTTGCGGAGGACTCCAGCTTTAACGACAAGGATGCGGTTGGCGATGGTGCTCCGGTGAACTCCGACGGCGATAGACATGGCGGCTGGAGAGAGAGAGATAGAGTGAGGGTGGCGGCTGAATGAAGCATCTAGGGTTAGGGTTTCGCATGACATATATACCCGGCACCCTTAAAACATATATCCATAATAACATAGATGGTCCCTCCCCATAGGATTCTTTTCACAGAAAGCCCACAATTTACACTTTCAACCCTGGCTTTGGAAATCTTCTTCAAATTAAATCCAATAATTACCATTTAAACCCTCGGCATTAAAATCCTTTACACCTTAGGTACAAAATTTACCAAACAGCCCCCAATATCTTAATTATGACATAATCAGCCCTTCCACCTTATTTCCTTTTAAATTAAATCCAAATAATTATCACGGAGCCCCTGTCTTCATAAATATTTACAAACTGAGTCTGGAACTACACTTTTAACCCTCAACTTCCAGATTATGACAATTAGCTGATGGGAGACAGTCTTTTATATATAATTATTTATTTTAGGGCTTCTATTCGTTCATTAATTTGTTTATTTATTTAATAAATAAACAGGGTGTTACAACTCTCCCCCACTTAAATTAGATTTCGTCCTCGAAATCATTTCTTACCATTCCTTGCTCGCCCAACCACTCTAGTAGCATGGTCACTAACCTGGGCACACCCTAGCCTCCCCAGGGTAGCCATGACCAATCCTCGTAAAGCCCTAAAATCCGTAGGTGAACAAATCCCTCGCAATAAGATCTCATCTACTCTTTCTGAAGTCTGTTGTCCCGAGATGATCTGTATCCCTAACAGACCACTCATATTGAATCATTGTCGTTGAATCCAGTCTGTTTATCCCTCAACTGACTACTCAACTTTCAATAACTCGAGGTTTCCACTATAATTCAGGGTCACAAACCCAATTATCTCTGCATGTCAATTATACTTGGCCTTGTCAATTCCCAATCAACCAGCTATTCCATTCGTATTTGCAACCCAAAACACAAATACTAATACTGCCCAAACGCTGAAACTGCTCGAACACTAAACTTCCTGAAGTAGTAAGCTGCTACATAGCTGCTTCCCAAAATCTATCGAGACCTGCCTGGTCTCGATTCATTCACCAATCATCTGAAATGCCGGTTTCCGGCTTGGATGCGGGGCCAAAGGACTCCCCACTTAGTTGCCTCACACGACTTCTGAACGAAATACTTCCCTTGAACTAGTTGCCAGTAGTTATCATCCTACTGCAACTCTGCAACTTTCTGTTCTACCCGATCGGGTCCACGCGTCGAATCCTGTCATCATCAAATCCAAGATTAAAAGTGATTGCTACCTGACCACTGGTAGCCTAATATTCCAAATGACCTTAAGCAGTCCACTGCTTCCTGGATCTCATATCTGTAGTAGCGTTCTTACAGTCTTATCACTGGTTCAACCAGATCTAATCCATCTGGGAAATTTTCGAAATCCAATCCGTGGATTTTCTATCCTTACTGCTGCACCCGAACTGGTGGGTACTACTATTCCTTCCGCGTTCTAACAGCACGCTAATGTCATCTACCAACCTAGTGAATGCTACAGCTACACCCGCAGTCTCATGACACTCTATCAATATCTGACTGCTAGTAGATGCTACGGCTACCCCCGTAGCCTTACGACACTTCCCATGCTAACTGACCACTAGTGAATGCTACAGCTACCCCCGTAGTCTTACAACACTTCCCATGCTAACTGACCACTAGTGAATGCTACGGCTACCCCCATAGTCTTACAACACTTCCCATGCTAATTGACAACTAGTGAATGCTACTGCTACCCCCGTAGTCTTACAACACTTTCCGTACTGGTCGAACACGCACTCGACCTAACACACAACCGAACTTGAGTCCTAACCGGAACTCTAACCGAACACAGCCCATGCGAAAATACCATTCTCTTGAACATCCAATGACCAACCACTTATGGATCTAACACCCGCAACTGACACTACCATCTTTATGCTACCAGTCCCGTCCTAGCAACGGTAGTGCCTTGAGCTTCCAAAGTTCTTCCATAGACAACTGTCGACCACACCTGGATCATGATAGAACCACTGAATGCTGACTCCACTGAAGAACTATCGCTTTATCCCTGACCGGATATCCTCTCACTAATACTTCTGCACAGATCCCGACAAAGATCCGGAATGATAACGGTACACGCGGAACCCACTCCGTAAGATGCGTCCCTCAGTGGGTTCATCAAGGACTTTTCGGCATGCATGATGGCATATATGATCCTTGATAACTCAGACACTAATAGAAAACCGACCCGAGGTCTGACTTATCGAAACTCACTCACAATTCCAAAGCGGTACGTATTCCCAACATCCATCTGGTAGCAGTAGAAGATGACATACCCGCAACATCTGGAGGAATACAGATCACCTTCAGCTGACATGATCAACCCTGCCTCACTTGTAGCAACCTAAACCCTTGGAGCGACAAACTCCCTTGTGCATTTTCTCGTATGTGCAGTACTGACTCCGGCCCTACTGGCCTTTCACATGAGGATCAAAAGTCATGGATCTCTTCCTGAGACCCTCTACTATACGCACCTAGCACGAACCTCTCTTCCCAGGGTGCTCCAAATCGATCTCGCATCTGCAACTCTTGGAAATCATATCCTTCAGGGCCTGACACCTTGTCACGCTCACTAGCTCACTTGCCAATGGCTAAGCTGCAACAACTGGAACATCATCTGCCCCCAAACCGGGTCACAAACTCCTCCCAGAAGCTTCTCAGATTCTCCAAGACTCTCACCGATTCGAGTATGGATCCTGTGCTTTCAGTAGTACGGGCCCAATACTACCTTCCACACCTATCCATACCTTCCTCAGAAATCCTCCCGAATCCTCTCAGTCACTTCCTCAAACTGGTACCCAAGCCTCACTGAGCCTCACAACTAACCCACTAAAACATATCCTAGGCTTTCCTAGGTTCCCGAACTCACCCAGTCCTCAGCTGCTGAAAGATTCCCAGTAATGTCAACTAGCTACCTCATGAATATAGCTAGCTCACATTACTAAGAGTCTCACAAAGCACAAAGCAAGCAACATTCAGACAATGGAAAATCTAACCATCATATTGCAATCAAATCCTTTTATCCTCTAATCAAGAATCTGTACATGCAATTCAAAGGCTCATACAATCAGGCATAACCTAAACAGGTTATCCTATTACTGACTGATCAGTACTAGCATGCAAATCTACAAGCACATACAATAAGCATATAAGGCATCCTTCCTAGATCCTTAGCCCTAATCTAGCATGCAATTCTCATAATCATATCATATCATACCATAACATAACATGTATGGGTATCTTGGGAAAACTTACTTGAGTTCGGCTGATTGCACGCATCACACACTTTGTTCTTCTCAAACTCCGTTTCTCTTTTCAGATTCTTTTCAAACTTCTTTTTATAAAATGGTTTTACTTTTGAAAATTTTCATACCAAGCCCTTAGTTTGAGTTCAGACACACCCGAGAGTATATCCGAATCCCTCAAACCAAGGCTCTGATACCAACTTGTAACATCCCAAAATTCAAGGCCAAAAATTTCATTTTTAAATAAGTTATTACATAAAACAATCAATATAAAAACATTCATAATAATATCTCGTGTCAAACCAAAGTGTCAGTAATCAAACAGAGTATCATAAAACCATATCAGAGTGTAATCCCAAGGATCCAGTATGCGGAAAACATAGTGTGATGCGCTGCGACCAAGCCGGCTCCTTTCCTTTGAAACAATGTACCTGAAACACATAACACATAACACAGTAAGCACGCATGCTTAGTGAGTTCCCCAAAATACCACATACAACACATAAGCCACTCGAGGCTATAGCTCTACGAGACCTTCCGGTCAATGTGTCTCAGGGGCCTTCCGGTCCCACAATCCGAGTAGACCTTCCGGTCCTACCCTGTCGACCTTCCGGTCCATACCATGTTGACCTTCAGGTCCATACACTGCTGACCTTCCGGCCCATACCCTGTTGACCTTCCGGTCCATACCAAGCACCTCATAAGATACATAACATATACATATCACATAGAGACATATATCACATACTCTTCATAGCACATAAAAATATATAAGACCTTCCGGTCACATATCACATAAGTCACATAGCTCATACAAATATATAAGACCTTCCGGTCACATATCACATAAAGTCTCATAACTTATTCATACACATAAGACCTTCTCGTCACACCTAGTTACCATTCATGGTAAAGTATAGTGAGAAAACTCACCTGGCATTGCTGAAGTCCCGCAGACTCCATCCCACACTGCTAAAGTCCTGCAGACTCAACCCCAGCTGCTGGATGACAGATTCCCGATCTGTCAATATCAAAATATCTCCCAATTAATAATTGGGTCTCACTACATAACCATAAGTACATACTTTGGATAATTACTACATTACCCCAGGCTTGGCTTTATTTATGCCTAAGGCCCAATCCATAGGCCCAAAGTCAATTAGGAATCAAAGCCCAACATATGGCCCAGTTTTCCAAATTGGGCCCAAACCCCTTACATGGGCCTTACCCTAGGCCCATTAATGTATTTTAGTCCAATTGCTTGACTTTGGATGGCCCATTAATAACCCAATCATCAAGGCCCAATAGAAGGGCCCAACAATAAACCCAAGTGAAATTAGGGTTTTCACATAAAATGACGATTAGGGTTAAGTGTTTCTCACTTAACCCATTAAAGACTTAATCCATTAAGGACTTAATCCACTAAGTCCATCATTTTTCTAAATAAGTCATATGGTGTGATTGGGCTTAATCACACAATTCCCTTCCAATGGCCCAAAAGTGGGTCCCAATAAGTCCAAGCCCATAAATCCAATATTAGGGTTTTCTAAACCCTAATTAGGGTTTCCAACCCCATCTTAGCCCATTAGGCCCAATTGATATGTCTTTTGATCAATTAAGGTTCACTAGACTCATTAAGGTTTCACTAGGCCCATTTGTCATCTGTTTGGGCTTTTAAGT